TGATAAGACCGATGCGAGGTCGAAACTGCAGTCCACTCTGGATGAGAACGACTTTTGGGAAAGCAAGGCTATGTGAAATTCAATGAAAACGCCAGCTAAACTCATATCATTCTGGGAAAATTCTTCTTCTACCAGTCCTTCATCACCTTGATTGAAATTGGATGAATACATCTTATACTCCCATAGTCTGAAATTTTGATGAATCAAGATACATTAATCATAGAATCCATTGTAACTGATGGTTAATTAATATTATTAGCACTGGAGATATTTATTTCGCATTGGCGCAAGAAGTATGGAAATCCTGTCTTCAATATATGACAAACTTTACTAGCACATTTGAGGTGTGGGTTATGAGAAAGAAGTTTGTTTCCTCGACATATGCTCAGTAGGGTGTGCCAATTATTATGCTGTATACTAATAGATTGCTTGGTACAGTAGTCCTATGAGGTTAATGTGATATGCAGATTTATGAACATGGGCATATGATGCTTATGCAGCCGAACATTCAAGATTAGCACTCCGCTGTACTTTGCGCAATGGCTCAACTCTATCCATATCTTATTTATTACTATCTATTTTTGATAACATTATAGGTTCTTAAAATACTCATTGAATCCCTTCAATTAATTTAAGATATTCATGATATTATTTATAAAAAGTAGTTCCCTATCGTGCTAGCATCCACGGGCTAACCTAAGCCATAAAATTATTGGGATTGAGGAAATTAATCACTTAGAATACACTCCTTCCTTAATTTTAATCTTCTATGAGGCAATGGGTCTTAGTATTTACGCTTAGAAGGACGTGAAATCGACTGAAACTCTGTTTTCACAAAATAATTGACGGACATTTTTCTATCATAATATGTTTTAAAACATCCAATGATTGGAACTGATTTCAGCATTCGGTTAATTTAACTTCCATTAATAGCGAACAAATGACAAAACAGAGCATTATACAAATATATAAGCAAAAAGCAAAATAGTTTAATAAAACCCTAAATATGACCAACTTTGGAGATTTTTTGACTCACCGGCTCTTTCCAATAAATTAATTTTCCCAAGCTATTTTGGCGTATTTTAATAATCAAATTTCCCCTGGATTTCAAAGCACAGTATATTGCATATTCACACATCCATCAAACCTAAATCATATGAGAGTATTAAACACCTTGCATATAGTTTGTTCACTATGTACTTTTGATCTATTCCCAAGAATCATCCATCTTTTTATGGGCAAAATTAAATATTATAGCTCACCAATGCACCCGTAGGAGTATGCGTTGAGAGTCAGCGTGTTTATGATGCTACGCAAACGCTTCGCTAAAACTGGGTCAGGCATGCTGCGACGAAGAGCTGTTTTAAAGACGCCCAAGTAGGCTGATAAAGAAAACTGGTACATTGCATTTATGTTAGCCATGTCGGTCAACACGAAGAAGAGAATGGCACCTCTTCTTGCCGCTGGTCGATAACCGTCACGGAGGCGGTCTATGTCAGCTGCTGTCTGGGCCCCCAAAGCTAGCTTTTCCGCCACCTCAGTTGCTTTCAACTTGGTTCCCTCTAAGGTCTCTACAAGTTCCATATTATCCAGCATATTGCCCTGACTGGTTGCTAACTCCCGAAGTAGGCTGTCCTCGAGGTCTTTCAACAATCTCTTGTTATCACTAGTTGAAGAAAGAGTAAAGATTTATGTATTTCAGAAATTCGAAGACCTTTATTTTAATAAAAATACCCTAATTCAGTTAGCGTGATGTAAGTATTAATATTTGAATTACTCACCAGGAACTTGCAATATCATTGAATTTTATTCGGCCTTTCTTCCAAAGATAGTTTCCCATCCGAGATGGACTAGAGGCTTAAACTTGCCTAGGTCTCATCAACATTCCCAGTGAGATAATAATCAGGTTTATATTGATAGGTTGGCCACAAATTACAATTCCGCCACTCATCCACATGTGAAAGTGTTGTCACCAGAACAAATGTG